TATGAAATCCCTCAAGTGTATTTTGAAGCTGGTCACAAACACAGTTCCAAATCACTGGAACAGCAACAGACTCTATGGAAATCTCTTGTGTTCAAACGTTCCCAGTCTGCGAGATTGCTTTGAAAGTCAAAATATGCTGTGTGTGTGTGAGTGTGAGAGTTTAAATATACCGTATGAACTCTAACGTGCATTACACTCCATTGTTGTGTATGCAGACTCACGTGGAGTGAACGGTACTCACATGAACCCATGCGGTCCGGGTCCATTTCAAAAAGAGTGGCGAAAGTCACATGACCACAGCGCATGAGTCAGGGAAGAGTAAACAGGTCAGTACACTTAATCAACACTTGCTGTTTTTCAGAATGCAAATGAGTCAAGTCATTTCAAAGGAAATTTTTAGGGAAATTTATAACGCATGCTTGTAGGAAAACAAACATCATGTGACATCATGTGAAAATGAATTGTGTACTTTTTCAGATTTTTAACAAAGAATTATCTGTGTTAAAGACATCGTTCACCCAAAAATTCAAATTATGTCATCATTTACTCACTTTTTCAAAAGAAAATGCGAACTAAACAACACTTAATTGTCCCCATTGACTTCCAGTGTATGAAAAAAACAATGAGACATTTCTCAAGATATCTTTTGTGTTCCACAGAAGGAAGACAGACATACTGGTTTGGAACAAACATCATTTTCTGGATGAACTATTCCTTTACCAGATGACTCCCTTCATTGTGGGTGTGTAACATGTTTAAGTCATGACTGTGTTAAAAACAAAAGTCAGGTGATTGTGAAAAAGGAGGAGACTGCTTACAGAATAAATGAGATGGGCCTATTAAATTGAATCTGAGGCATGTAGTAAAACAGGTTAATTTCCTTGTTGAATTAACCTTGGCTTGCGAGGCTTGATGGGAAAATTAACTGTTAATACACATTAAGCACCATTTATTTTCTAGGCCTAAATATGTCATGATGTATTCTGTTTGCACTAGAGGTCAAAGAAGTGTAGAATCTTGTCATTGTTTCTGGTTTCCTCTTATGTTTCCCCATTATCCACTCTGAAAACACACGCCCACAAACAAATTAAGCATCTATAGTGGAGATTCCCTCCTGTACTAACTGGATAGCCTTTAATTCACATCTGTACACTTCGGTTCTGTCCAAAACACAGCTCAACCCCCGTGGCTTTCACAGATCTATTCAGAAGAGATGCTAGTCATTGGGTTTTGTGGTGTGTGGACGTCATTGTTCTCTGACTCGTTTATTGCATCTCTATTGTCTTTGGCACAGACGACACCATGATACATTTCACACATATGTGAAAAACATTTTTACATTTTTCTTAAAGATTCTAAATTCTAAAATATTTGAATTCCAACTTACCTAATGATTATTTTGATTCAATAATTTAATATTAAAATATATTAAAATAATTTAATATATCTATTATATATATACAGAAAACTGTCCCAAAATCCCCACAGGAAAGAAAAATAACAATGTGAATCATTTCTCCTAGACAGCAATAAAATTGAATAGAGAGTGTAGTTATCTTATGTGTGTCTCCAGAGCTTCAGATAAGATCTCAACCATATCTCAGGCTGCACAGCTGATGAGAATTCAAAAGTCTCTCCACAGGGTTCAATTCAACTATTGAAATGCATCATGGGGAAAAAAAAAATTTTCTCGCATCATACACTCCTTTATACCTGAATGGGTCTATGTGGTTAAAGTTCAATTATGATGTCTCACACAAAAGAACAAGGAATTAATAACAAACACAGTGACCTGTCAGAGAAACACAAAAGCATTTGGCTGTTCTGTAAATACACATTTACTTCTGCTGATGACCTCAAAATGACATATTTCTTTTAAAAAGTTTTCAAAAACATATATATAAAAATACGATGAACTTAAAAAGAAAATAATTTCATTTTTGCGTCATAAAGACACTTTTTATTTGTCAATGAAGAAATGTGACTATTTCTAAAAAGGCCAAATGCTTGTTTGGTTTTCTTGTAAATGTTAATAGTAACTTTATAAAACTGATTCAGTGCTTATTTTTTTTAATAAATAATAAATGGCAGTTATTTTCTTAAAGGTGACATATTATGCCCCTTTTTACAATATGTAATATAAGTCTCTGGTGTCCCCAGAATGTGTTTGTGAAGTTTCAGCTCAAAATACTCGACAGATCATTTATTATATAAGTGGAATCAGAAACAAGCTGTTTTTCAGGCCTGTGTCTTTAAATGCAAATGCTCCCCGCCCCCTTTTCCAGAATAGAGCTGCACCTTTACAGCTC